ATGGATTGGGGGGGTTTAAAGTGGCTAATGATGCAGCTGTGGTCTGGCTTCTGGTTTGTGGTCGTGCCTCATAGTCAGTGTGGCTTTGGGTTTGTTTTTTGCGTGGATGTTTGGTGGTGACCTCCTGTGTGGTTTTTGTGAGTGTGGGTCTGGTATCATTTTTTGTGTTAGGGAGTCGTTTGTCATAGAGGGCGGGTTTCCAAATGGCTGGTAGGCGGGAGGTATCATCTCGCTTGTTCATGCTGTGTGGGCGTTTTTCTATCTCGATGGCTTCTCTGATTATTCTGTTATTAAAATGTTCACTTTTGGCAATGGTTCTGGTATTTTTAAAGTCAATTTCATGTCCTGTGGCTTTAAGGTGTTGGACCAGGGAAGATGTTGGTTCCTCTTTTTTGATTGAGTTCTTATGTTCTTCAATGCGTGCACTTATTCTTCTGTTGGTTTGTCCGATGTATGTGGTGGGACAAGTGGTGCATGGGATTTCGTATACTCCTTGATTTTCTAATTCAATTTTATCTTTGGGGTTTCTAAGGATGGTGGATATTTTTCTGTTTGTGCAGAATGCTGTTTTGATGTTGTGTTTATGGAGGATCTTACTGATTCTGTCTGTGATGCCTTTTATGTATGGGAGGATGGCTTTGCCGTTTTCTTGTTCTTTGTCTTGGATTTTAGTGGGGGTTTCTTTTTGGATTAGGTTTGTAATCTTATTTCTATGGAATCCATTGGATGTTAGTACATTGGTGAGAGTGTGTAGTTCGGGCTTTAGGTGTTGTTCGTCAGCTAAGCGTTTTGTTCTGGAGATGAGTGTCTTGGCTACAGAGTTGATCTGTGCTGGGTGGTGGTGTGAGAGAGCGTGCAGATAGCGGTTTGTGTGTGTTTTCTTCTGGTAGATGGTGTGTCCTAGGGAGCCATTGGATTTCTTGTAGACTAAGACATCCAGGAAGGGAAGTTGGTTGTTAGCTTCTGTTTCCATGGTGAACTGTATTTTGGGGTGTAGGCTGTTGAGGTGTGTGAGGAAGTTGTCCAGTTTTTCTTTCCCATGTGGCCAGATTATGAAGGTGTCGTCTACGTATCTGAGCCAGAGTTTGGGTTTGTGATCAGATTTTTCTAGAGCTTGGGTTTCAAAGTGTTCCATGTAGAGGTTGGCAATGACAGGTGAGAAGGGGTGATCCCATGGGTGCTCCTTCTGTTTTGTTTGTATTTTGTCCATTATAGATAAGTATGTGTTGGATAGGCAGTGGTTGGTCAGATCTAAGATGTGACATTGACAAACGACTCCCTAACACAAAAAATGATACCAGACCCACACTCACAAAAACCACACAGGAGGTCACCACCAAACATCCACGCAAAAAACAAACCCAAAGCCACACTGACTATGAGGCACGACCACAAACCAGAAGCCAGACCACAGCTGCATCATTAGCCACTTTAAACCCCCCCAATCCATACATGAAGCAAACTGACACCCTCCATGAAGAGGAAGCACGACCACGAACGCGAAGCCAAGGAATGGCAGGGCAGCCCAAAATCTTGAATCCCTCTGCAACTCAGACTAACCTGAGCACAACCAAACAGAACACTCCCCCAGCCAATCAGAGCACAGCCAATCAGAGCACAGCCAACCCCCCAGCCAATCAGAGCACAGCCAAGCCCCTAACCAATCAAAACACACCTCCACCCAATCAGAACACAGCCAAGCTCCCACCCAATCAGTTCATACCCCCACTGGCAGTTAAAAGGAAGAAACAGCTAAGACCACACATTGCTGCTCGAGGCACGAAGCTGAAAGCACCAGCCTGAAGATGACGAATGGGACTTCGTCGAAACGTCGCCAAGACACTTCCAATTTTACGTGGAGAAAACCCGAACAACCAAAGACCTACATACAAAATACCCGCGAAACCTCAGAAAACAAATATTGAACCTCTACGGGAGGAAATCCACCATCTGACCAGGACCTATGAAAAACGTGAAGTCCAAAGAGCTTCCATTTTATGCGACCTCGCATTCCTACGCAACTGCCGAGATCAAAATCTAATCCCCACATGTTTCCAACTGAAATTCCACTCCAACTCTGCAGCCACCAAACGGATCCTGAAAAGAACAGAATTGGCCCTAATCAGAAATGAACTTCACACAAAAAGATTCCTCCTAGACCGAATTAACAAAGATCTCCTCACACTCCACCTCAAACTCAGCAACAAGATCCACCCCGCACTTTGGGACAAATCCAAACAACTCGCCGTCTGGAGAGCCGAAACACAGACCACCCTCAAGACAGATACACACACCAACAAACTCCAAAGACTACAAGAACGCCAGAAACAAACCCCTCCTCCCTCACAGCCACACATGAAACAAACAGTGCATAACATCTCAGATAGGATCCTCACCAAAGCCGAAACCAATGTCCTTTCCAAAGGATTCAACTTTGCAGTCGCTCCCAAACACATCCCCACTGAAACCATTATATGTGGAGTTGAAACCAGCCTGACTAAAATCAACCCCGACGACGCCAACAGAATCAGACTCGAAATCACCAACATCCTCTGCACCAGCAAGCCACCCAAAAGCAACTTACCCAAAGAGGAACAGACAGCACTACGTATCCTTAAAGAAGACACCAGCATAATAATCCTACCAGCAGACAAGGGCAACGCCACGGTGGTTATGAACACATCTGACTACCAAACCAAATTAACCAACCTACTCCAAGACTCCACATACAAACCCCTAAATACAGATCCCACCACCTACCTGGAAAAAACCACCAGATCCAAAATAAAAGCCTCCCCCATTAGCGAAGAGATCCAGCAAAGAATCATTCCCAGAGAGAAATCATCCAGATGCCCCAAACTCTATGGTCTCCCCAAGATACACAAGGAAGGAACCCCACTCAGACCTATAGTCAGCTCCATAGGCTCACCTCTACAAAACCTAGCCAAATTTCTCGCCAAACAACTACAGCCCTATGCAGAATCCATTACCTCACACGTAAAAAACTCATTCCAGTTTATAGAGATCATAAAGAAACAAAACTTACAGCCCAGCGACCTACTAGTGAGCTTCGATGTCATATCCCTCTTCACACAAGTGCCTATCAAAGAAGCCTTGACAGCTATCCAAAACAAATATAACCCCCCCAAACACATCTTAGATCTGACCAACCACTGCCTATCCAACACATACTTCATCTATAATGGACAAAAATACAAACAAACAGAAGGAGCACCCATGGGATCACCCCTCTAACCTGTCATTGCCAACCTCTACATGGAACACTTTGAAACCCAAGCTCTAGAAAAATCTGATCACAAACCCAAACTCTGGCTCAGATACGTAGACGACACCTTCATAATCTGGCCACATGGGAAAGAAAAACAGTTCACCATGGAAACAGAAACTAACAACCAACTTCCCTTCCTGGATGTCTTAGTCTACAAGAAATCCAATGGCTCCCTAGGACACACCATCTACCAGAAGAAAACACACACAAACCGCTATCTGCACGCTCTCTCACACCACCACCCAGCACAGATCAACTCTGTAGCCAAGACACTCATCTCCAGAACAAAACGCTTAGCTGACGAACAACACCTGAAGCCCGAACTACACACTCTCACCAATGTACTAACATCCAATGGATTCCATAGAAATAAGATTACAAACCTAATCCAAAAAGAAACCCCCACTAACATCCAAGACAAAGAACAAGAAAACGGCAAAGCCCTCCTCCCATACATAAAAGGCACCACAGACAGAATCAGTAAGATCCTCCATAAACACAACATCAAAACAGCATTCTGCACAAACAGAAAAATACCACCATCCTTAGAAACCCCAAAGATAAAATTGAATTAGAAAATCAAGGAGTATACGAAATCCCATGCACCACTTGTCCCATCACATACATCGGACAAACCAACAGAAGAATAAGTGCACGCATTGAAGAACATAAGAACTCAGTCAAAAAAGAGGAACCAACATCTTCCCTGGTCCAACACTTTAAAGCCACAGGACATGAAATTGACTTTAAAAATACCAGAACCATTGCCAAAAGTGAACATTTTAATAACAGTATAATCAGAGAAGCCATCGAGATAGAAAAACGCCCACACAGCATGAACAAGCGAGATGATACCTCCCGCCTACCAGCCATTTGGAAACCCGCCCTTATTGACAAACGACTCCCTAACACAAAAAATGATACCATACCCACACTCACAAAAACCACACAGGATGTCACCACCACACATCCACACAAAAAACAAACCCAAAGCCACACCGATGATGAGGCACGACCACAAACCAGAAGCCAGACCAGAGCTGCATCATTAGCCACTTTAAAGCCCTCCAATCCATACACGAAGCAAACTGACACCCTCCATGAAAATGAGGCACGACCACAAACGCGAAGCCAAAAAATAGCAAGGCAGCCCAAAATCTTAAACCCCTCTGCAACTCAGACTAACCTGAGCACAACCAAACAGAACACTCCCCCAGCCAATCAGAGCACAGCCAACCCCCAGCCAATCAGAGCACAGCCAACCCCCCAGCCAATCAGAGCACAGCCAAGCCCCTAACCAATCAGAACACACCTCCACCAATCAGAACACAGCCAAGCTCCCACCCAATCAGTTCATACCCCCACTGGCAGTTAAAAGGAAGAAACAGCTAAGACCACACATTGCTGCTAGAGGCACGAAGCTGAAAGCACCAGCCTGAAGATGACGAATGGGACTTCGTCGAAACGTCGCCAAGACACTTCCAATTTTACGTGGGAGAAAACCCGAACAACCAAAGACCTACATACAAATACCCGCGAAAACCTCAGAAAACATATATATATATATCATATATACATATGAAAAACAGTGAGCATCTGCTAATGTAACCAGATATTAATGGTTGGTAGGCAACATCAAGATCTCAGCTCTTTTCCATCATAACAAATCGTTCATCCCCAACTATATCCCCTTTGATGATATGAAGTGTCACACAGTGAGTGAAAAATGGTAATTTTATATGTGTTCTTCTTGATTATAAGAATATAATAATATTCCAGTAAGAGCATGTCATCTAAAACATCTTCCCTTGAAACTATATATTTTTCTCTGATGGAGATATAAGCAAATTAAACCAACGACTTCATCATTCAAGTAAAAGTCCTATTACTTTACTAAGGTTGTATAAATTGCATAACAGCCCTAATCAGAAAATTAGGTTTCTAGGAGAGTCTAAGAAATCTGAAAATAATATTCCAGCCCAGCGTGAGACTGACTTTAGTGCTTTTAGCTCTACACTTCTGTGATTCTTGTTACAGTTACCCTCAGTCTCTGCATTGAATATAGGGCAGCATGCCTGCATATAATAAGCAAGGAATGTTTAGTATGTTACCTATTGCAATTCAAAGGCAAACACAATCCTTCTGCTTCCAGGGCCAGCATTATCATATGGAGCACATCCTGCCACAAGCCACAGAAGTAAAGGAATGGGTTGCACTGGTAGAATGTCGGGGGCAAAATTATGTGTGAGCTATGTGATCTTCTTACACACTCCAGATCCAACAGTGGTCTACATCCAGTGGTGGGATTCAGCCAGTTTGCACCACTTCGGCAGAACCGCTGGCTAATTTTTTGTTGCCCAGGCCCAGAATGAACTTCCGGAAGCAGCATCCACACAGAGAACTTGTTTTTTATGTATTTGAATCCCACCGCTGCCCACATCCTTTTGCTTATGCTGAAGACCAAGTCAGTCTCACACTGGGGTAAATGGGAGAATTATATGGCTGTAAGATGAGGACTACCTTCAATATAACTACATTTTATGATTATAAGTATGGGAAGCAGCAATCAGTCCTGGGATCCATGTGATCATGTTACAGGTAGATTTTGGATTACTGCGGAAATAGCAATCTTGCAGATTTCTGCCTATCTGTGAAGTCATAGATGAAATGCAAGGGCTTTGCAGACTGGTGTAACTCTAATGTGATTTACTGTGGTTTTGCAGAGTAGATTTGTGCTCCAGCAAATGCTTTAGTTTTTGTCATGTACAGAGGGATAGAATCAAGATCATGTGAAGTATTAATACCAGTGCTTTTTTTCTAAAAAAAAAAAAAAAAGGTGCCAGAACTCACACACGTCATACAATCTGCCTTGCCTACCCTATAAGCTGCCGGAACTCCGTTCTGGATGTTCCATGAGAAAAAAAGCCCTGATTAATACCACTTTACAATGTGGTATACTGCATCCAGTTTTGATCACCACGATGTAAAAAAGATGTTGAGACTCTAGAAAGAGTACAGAGAAGAGCAACAAAGATGATTAGGGGACTGGAGGCTAAAACATATAAGGAACGGTTGCTGGAATTGGGAATGTCTAGTTTAATGAAGAGAAGGACGAGGGGGGACATGATAGCAGTGTTACAATATCTCAGGGGCTGCCACAAAAATGAGGGAGTCAAGCTATTCTCCAAAGCACCTGAAAGCAGGACAAGAAGCAACGGGTGGAAACTGAGCAAGGAGAGAAGCAACCTAGAACTAAGGAGAAACTTCCTGACAGTTAGAACAATTAACCAGTGGAACAACCTGCCTCCAGGAGCGGTGAATGCTCCAACACTGGAATTTTTAAAGAAGAAACTGGACAGCCATTTGTCCAAAATGGTATGGAGTTACCTGCCTGCCTTGATGACCTCCAAGGTCCCTTCCAACTTTATTATTATTATTATCATAAATTTCATGGTCCATTTGGGTGGAGATAGTTCTTGTTTTTGAAAGTATATTGGATAGCTGGGTATTAGATTTTTTTTTCTCTTCATAAGAAAAATCCTAAAGTGCTCACAGGAGGAAGTGCAGGTAGTCTTCAAATTACAACCTCAGCTGAACTCAAAATTTCTGTTGCTAAGTGAGACGGTTGTTAAGTGAGTATTGGCCTGTTTTATGACCTTTCTTGCCACAGCGGTTAAGTGAACCACTGCAGTTGTTAAGTTGGTAACACGGTTGTTATGTGAATCTGACTTCCCCATTGAGTTTGCTTGTCAGAAGATCACAAAAAGACACCGCAACCGTCATAAATATGAACCAGTTGCCCAGCATCACAATTTTGATCACATGATGGTGGGGATGCTGCAATGGTCATAAGTGTGAAAAATGGTCATAAGTCACTTTTTTCAATGTTGTTGTAACATAGAATAGAACAGAATAGAATAGAATAGAATAGAGCAGAGCAGAGCTGGAAGGGACCTTGGAGGTCTTCTAGTCCAGCCCCCTGCTCAAGCAGGAGGACCTACCATCTCAGACAGGTGATTGTCTAGCCTCTTCTTAAAAATCTCCAGTGATAGAGCACCCACGATTTCTGGTGGCAAGCTGTTCCACTGGTTGATTGTCCTCACTGTCAGGAGGTTTCTCCTTAATTCCAGGTTGCTTCTCTCTTTGATCAGCTTCCATCCATTGTTTCTTGTCCTTCCCTCTGGTGCTCTGGTGAACAACATGACCACCTCTTCTTTGTGGCAGCTCCTCAGTTAATGGAATACTGCTATCATGTCTTCCCTATTTCAGCTAGTCTAAAGAAAAGAAGAAATAGGAGAGACATGATGAATTGTTGTAAGTCAAGGACTATTGGTAGTGCAAAGGACAAGCAAACTCTGCCCCAACATGAGCTACAGTGTGGTGGGTGAAAGCATCACATTCCAGAGTGACTGGAAGTTGGGCGTCATTATTAATTTGAAAAAGAAATAAAGAAAAAAACCTCAATGCTCAGAGCATTTTATACATTTTGAGAGCTGGGTATTAATCTTCTGAGAAAAGACAAACACCAGCTGGATTTCAGTCCTTATAGTATTTATCCTGTTGTGACAAATTCAGCTCTCCCCCAGCAGAATTCATGGTGACATTCTTTTACATTCCAATCTGATTTTCTTTTACAAAAAATTCTCCCAGTTCCTCATTAGCTCAAAGTCTTCAGAAACACAATCCAGACTTCTAAATGCTTAATAGTGAACATCGTGACAGCCTGTTCAGGATCCTCATTAATACCATTTCCTTTTGCTTCTTGATCCCCAGAATGTGGCACCTCTCCAAGTGGTTGTGCAAGATGACAACTGCATAGTTATTTCCCTGGAAGCAGCTGACGTGATGAGCTCATCCTCGGTGTATGTTGTGAAGATCACTGGTGAATCCAAGAACTATTTTTTCCAGTTTGATGAATTCAACAGCACTTTACCTGCTCCTGTGGTTTTTAATGCCACCTACCATGGTCTTTATTACATAGTGACCCTGATGGTGGTGAATGCAAATGTTATTTCCAAGCCGGCTAGATCACTAACTGTGTTAACTAGTAAGTATGTTTTTAAAACATTGTTGATTTGATCTGTTTGAAACTTAGATGTGCTATCTTTCTGCCATATGGATGCCATATCTTTCTCAGATGAGAAACAATTTAGTAAGTCCACTGGATCTTCCCACTGTGGCTAGTGATAGTTCTAAAATAATAAACATTTTTGCCAATAAATCAAACATTTCCTAAATTGTCAGTCTTGCCTTACTTGTAACTCAGTCACCCTGGCTTCTTTTTAATCATCACCATGGTCATTTAAAACAAAAATCTTAGATTTCAAACTGGTGAAATTTCAAAATTTCTATTTTACTCATTTTAGTTTTTTTTATCCTGCCTTTATTATTTTTCTAAATAACACAAGGTGGTGAATACCTTTAATACGTTGTCCTCCTCCTATTTTCCCTACAACAAAAACCCCGTGAGATAATTTAGGCTGAGGGAGAGTTATTAGGCCCAAAGTCAGTCAGCCAGCTTTCATACCTAAATTGGGACAAATGGGTTCATTAACCAGTAGACCAACTGGCTAACTTCCGTTTCAATGCTTTATATTTCTTTCCCCCAAAGTTTCTTTCTAGAGAGCAAAGATTTGGTTGAATATAACTGAGAGACCTCCAAACTGTCCCTCTTGTTTAAAGATGTTGTTACCTGCCTATCCAGATTAGAATCATGGCAGAGAGAGAACAAGAGCACTTAAGCTTTCCCTCCCACAGTGGATCAAAGTATTTCACCCATGGTGCAAACATCTGTTGGGATGCAATGCAATAAAGCCTCAGCTGCCTCATCCTCATTTGCAAAATAACTGCTGTTCGTTAAATAAAAACATACATTCAAGAGCCAGTTATTTTGCTAAAAGCATGTATAGATTGGCCCAGCAAGGCTAAGCAAGTCATGTATCTTAGCTCAAAAGTTGGGACTAGGCAAAAGAAAGCAAGAAAAGACAAAGGACAAGCACAAATAAAGAAACTAGCCTTGCTAGTGTTCATAAACATTCCCTGTTTAAATGCTGCATTTTTATAACTGCTGAAATTTTTAGTTATCTTTGTTGCCATGACAACCCTGGCAGCAATTAGAGAAAAATAACTACTGTTTTCCTTGTTCTGTGTCAAATGGCTCCCTGTTTGTTAAAGCTCATTGGGATATTGCATTGAGCCCATACGAGAGCATATTAATAAGGTCCATGCCTAACTGGGCTGCACCTGGACCCTAATGCCTGGCACATCACATGGATCCAGACAGACATTGCTTTCCAGCCCCATCCACCAGCCATCATTAGAGTCTGCTATGGGAGGGATCCTATGAAGGCACCAACAGCAATGCACAGTGATATAAAGCAATTGGTCCCTAAGCAGCCCTTTGCCATTTCACAGCAGTTTCTATTGATGCTTGCAAGGCTACATATCAGAATTATCTCCCTTTTTTGGGGTGTGTGGGAAGTGTGCTGACAATTACAGAACATATGAGAACAATGGTTTGAGTGTAGCCTTGAAACCCAAGTCTCCTGTTAGAGATTTCACGCACAGCATCCAACAGATGTCATCTCTACCATCCGTTGTTAGTTTTATAGATCTAGTTTTGCTTCTCTTCCCCCCCCCCAAGTATTAGATAGATAGATAGATAGACCTTTTTAATGCCGCGACCCCCAACCAGTTGTAAGTCAAGGACTACTCAACCGGTCGTAAGTCAAGGACTACTCAACTGGTGCAGCACCATTTGCAGAATGGGACTTTTGGAGGGCTCAGCAGGGCAGAGACAGCCTGGACAATTCCTATTGGCTTTTGAAAGCCAATAGAATTAGACTCTATTCAAGAGGATCTATTCTATTGGCTTTCAAAAGCCAATAGAATAAAAGGGAGTAGCACAGCTAAGGAAAAGGGGGAAAAATGGCGGACTGCGTTGTTTGGCAACCCCCGTGAAATGGTCGTTCGACCCCAAATGGGGTCCCGACCCACAGGTTGAGAACCACTGATATAGTGTGTTGTGTGTGTGTGTGTGTGTGTGTGTGTGTGTGTGCGTGAGAGAGAGAGAGAGAGAGAGAGAGAGAGAGAGAGAGAGAGAGAGAGATATCTGGTTCCATAGGAGGCTGCCTAATTCTGAATCAGAACAGTGATCTTTTAATCTGATACAATCCACCTGCTATTTCTATTTTTATCTACTAATCTGTGTTCAGCTTGAAGGGAAATTATTTAATCCTCATGGGTAACCTGTGAACTTCATATGTATGGTGATGATGTGGACAAGGAATGTCTGTGAATGTCCTGTCTTTCATCGTACAAGCCTTTTTTTCTATAGTAGTTTATAGCTTCCCTGGCTTCCCATGTTTATAATCAACCCAGGGAAGACATCTGGAGGGGGTTCCTCTAAAAAGCATCCTTGAGAAATTGATTCAGAAGGTCTCCTTCCCTTCCTCATGTCAAAAAAGTTGGAAAAGTCGTCTACTAACTTTCTGGTCCCTGTGAGGAATTTTGAAAGGCCATTTGGACCCAGTTCTAATCAAACCAAATGTTGCTCCTTAAGCAATCTTCCCATTTTACAAAAATATTTCTCGACAAAGAAATTCAGTACCTTATACACAACTTCAGGTGCAAGCTTTAAATGCTTATAAATCTTTTCTACTGCAACATTGTACTTCCTTTGTTCCAAATAATAGATAAACCTATCTCCATACAGCATTTAAAGCATGTTGTATAACAGTGGTTCTCAACCTTTTTAATGCCGCGACCCCCAACCAGTCGTAAGTCGAGGACTACTCAACTGGTGCAGCACCGTTTGCAGAATGGGACTTTTGACGGGCTCAGCAGGGCAGAGACAGCCTGGACAATTCCTATTGGCTTTTGAAAGCCAATAGAATTAGACTCTATTCAAGAGAGTCTATTCTATTGGCTTTCAAAAGCCAATAGAATAAAAGGGAGTAGCACAGCTAAGGAAAAGGGGAAAAAATGGCAGACTGCGTTGTTTGGCGACCCCCGTGAAATGGTCGTTCGACCCCAAATGCGGTCCCAACCCACAGGTTGAGAACCACTGTTGTATAGCTTAAGTATGGCCTCTACCTTGCAAATGTCCCCATTAGTCAACCTCATAAGGCAGGAGTCTTCAAACTCCTTTTATGACTGGTGGACTTCAACTCCCAGAAGAATAGCTGAGGAATTCTGGGAGTTGAAGTCCACAAGTCATAAAAGGGCCAAGTTTGAAGACCCCTGTCCTAAGGTCTCCTTGTATGAGACAGGCTATAATGTCAGCATTTAAGAATTTAAAGGTTAATATCAAAGGGCACACTATTTTGAGGATAGGAAAGAAGAAAAGAAGAGCACTCAAAGAACGAGGGATCTTTGAAAAAACAGATGAGAGCTTCCCCTGCTTTCTATTTCTTACTTAATATAAAAACATACAGTTTCTCTTCAGGTTACTAAAGAGCACCATTTGTTCCTTTTTTGATGGCAGAAATTATAAAGAGTGAAAAAGTTCACCTGAGATATGTTTAAGTCATTATGAGATTTTACTGAGATTTTATTTCTATTTCAAAACTGCTGTTCTCGATGGGCAAGTTACTCAAAGAAGTAGCATTGAAAGCAGTAAGATAATTAGCTATTATGTCCAACACAAACAAATCCCATTAATTTCAATGGACTTATTTATGATTCTTTTAACCTAAATACTATTTTTCATGATTTCTACAAGAAAGTTGTTTAGAAAGACAATAGAGATACTCATTAAAAAATTATTCAGTTGCAGTATTTTTTGTATACTAAGAAAGTATTTTTCATATTCTGAACAATGTAATATGTGTTGGAATGTTTTGGGCAGACAGTTTAAATAAAGGAGCTGCAGTTTCTCTTCTCTAAACTTTAATGAAAGGGAGAGCTACATTTCCCTCCAATTTCGAAATATAAGAGATTCCAAACATTTATTCTAGCCCAGCTTAACCGCCTTTAGTTAGACAATTATGCTATATACAGTAATTTGAAAAAGAATAATAACCAGTTTTAAAAAGGTAATACAGACTTCCAAGTAATTGTTCCAGGTAATTCTTGTCTTTCATGTTAAAGAAAGGTGCCTGTAAAGCTTTGAACCCTCCAAATACTGTTACCAGAACATCAAATACAGAAAGTCCTCGAGTTACATCCAAAATGGAGCTTGCCCATTATGGTTGGAAACCACTGATGGGATTCAGCCGGTTCACACCACTTCGGCAGAACCGGTAGTTAATTTTTTGTTGCCCAGGCCCAGAATGGACTTCCGGAAGCAGCATCCACACAGAGAACCGGTTGTTCACATATTTGAACCCCCCCACTGTTGTAAACCATGACAGTCATAAACCAGGTTACCCACATGACAAATCTGATTTTCTGACTTTTTTTGCAGAGGTCATTAAGCAAATCCCAAAGTTGTTAAGCAAACCAATCTTGCTATGGGGCTGGTTTTGCTGAAAACCAGAAGTGAATGCTATGGGAGGCCATCAGAAATTCAAATCCAAGTCATAAGTAACCCCTATGTAGGTCCATTCTAGTTTGGAATGGTCATAAGGCGAGGGCCACTTTTACAAGGAAGGATGATCTTTAATGAAAAGAAAGACTAGGGGGTGACATGATAGCAGCGTTCCAATATCTCAGGGGTTTCCATAAAGAAGAAGGGGTCAACCTGTTCTCCAAAGCACCTGAAGACAGGACAAGAAGCAATGGGTGGAAACTAATCCAGGAGAGATCCAGGCTAGAACTAAGGAGGAATTTCCTGACAGTTAGAATAATTAATCAGCGGAACAGCTTGCCTCCAGAAGTTGTGGGTGTTTCAATGCTGGAGGTTTTTAAGACGAGATTGGACAACCATTTGTCTGAAGTGGTAAAGGGTTTCCTGTTTGAGCAGAGGGCTGGACTAGAAGACATCCAAGGTCATTATAATTATGATAATTAAGCCCTGAGCTCTCTATTTAGCACAAGGATCTCTAAGACCTGTAGATTTTTTATGATTGTAAGCCAGTCAGAGTTATGTAAGATGGGCAGCCAATA